TTAAAAGAAAAGAAAAAAGAAAGAAAAAAGACGTAATATTGGAAGAGGAAAAAAGAATATAGGAAAGATAAAAAAATTGTCATGCTTAATAAGAAGAATTTAGTGTATGTTTGAAAGCATTTTTGTAATGGACTTTTGACTATAAAAGTCCATTTCCTATAAAAAAGATGTTTGGTGTAAATAACAAAATGGATTTCTAAAAAAGCAACTCTCACAAAAAATCCATTTCAAAGAAGTTTATGGGCTTGTTTGGAAACACTTATTGAGAAGTCCATTCCAAGATGGACTTTTTGAAAATTGACTTTTCAAGAAGTCTCTAGTATAAACTTCTTGGAAATGGAATTATGTGAGAGTTACTTTTGGAAAAGTCCATTTTGTTTTTTGACACCAAACATCTTTTTATATAGGAAATAGACTTTGAGTAATGCTACAAGTACATAATAGTGTACATAAGGGTTACATAATACTCACATTGTGTGGGACTCATCAAAAATAAAAAAATCAAGTGGACCCCACACCATGTGAGAGTTATGTATATCTCTATATATATTATGTACATGTAGCATTTTTCATGGACTTTTATAGTCAAAAGTCCATTACAAAAGTGCTTCCAAACATACACTATATTGGACACTTCTTGAGAAGTCACTTTTGAAAAAGTCCATCTTAAAATGGACTTCTCAAGAAGTGTTTCCAAATAAGCCCTTAGAATAGATACTCGTCAATTTATTTGACTTACCATTGTTAATAGTTCTAGATATCTAATTAAGGATATTAAAATTAAATCAAAACAATACCCACAAAATAAGGAAATAAAATTTAAATATCGACATCAAGATAAGATGGAAAATATATCTATTATAAAAGATAATTTATGTCACTTTCAAAAATTTTGAAAAAAAAAAAAAAAAATCATGGGCGGGAATCGCCCGAAAATTTCAAAAAACATTTCCATAAGTAGTAAAAACAAAAAAAATCAGCAGAAATTGTCATGCTATTTTTATATTTTTTCTTATTGCTGTTGTAGTAATAGATTACTTATTATAACCATAAAAATATGTTAGAGAATTATATTTACCTTTTTTTTAGAATATTTAACTTTTAAGGAAAAATGATTTTTTTTTATTTCATTTTTATTTTTATAAAGTGTAATACAAGAACTTCTAAATTATTTGGTGCACAAAAATCAAATGAATCAATATTTTACAATCTCTACCAATCTTCATGGGACCACAATCTAAATTACAACAAATTGTCCATGTGAGATTTATT